CCTGTCAACAAGCTGGGGTCAGCTCTCTGAAAGAGACTCCCCCCAGCAATCCAGTAAACCCAGTTTTTCAGGAGTGACTCCTCCCAATAAAAATGATTATGCACCAGCTTTCTGGGAGCATCCCATCAAACCCAGCTTATTTTGGGAGGGATTGCCCCCCCCCCCCAAAAAAAAAAAACTGGAATATGAAACAGCTTGCTGGTGGATACTCAAACCAAAGAAAATGTGGAGGAAAACAATCAATATAATACAGCTTTCCAGGAGCAACTCCTCCTGGGATTACAGTATTGGGAGAGGATCCTCCTGTAAAACAGGCTTATGTAACAACTCACCAGGAGGGGCTCCTCCTGACAGGCTGGTATTAAATCCATCTTGTGCTGGGAAGTATAGTCCTTCCCAAAAAACTGAATTTTTAACCAGCTTTTTAATCCTCCTGGAAAGCTGGGATTTATACTTGCTTATTGGGGGAGAATCCCTGCAACAAGCAGTTTTTGATACCAGTTTTTCAGGGGGAGCTCCTGTAATGTTGGCATTAAACACAGCTTGTTGGAAGGAGCTTCTGAAACATTGGGAGTAAACCCAGCTCATTGGGATGAGATCTTGATTAGTTGGTATTAAACCCAGATGAAATCCAGTTTGTTCGGAGGAACACCTCCTAATTTGGTGTAGGCAGCCTAAACCTCATCAGGAGGGGTTCCTTGCAATGAGCTGGGTTGAATAACAGATTAACAAGAAGGAAACCTATGAACAAGATGCTATCTGACACAGTTTTTTTGGGAGGGAATTCTCCCAACAAAATGCATTAAGTGATGGTTTTTCAGGAGGGATTCCCACCAACAATTTGATTTTAAATTCAGATTGTAAGGAGGAGTCCACATTCCCTCCCAGATGGCTGGTGTCAGAACCATCTTGTTGAGATCAATTCCTTCCGATTCAGGGAAGGCTCATGTTTGATTAAGGGGGCATGATAACCCCCTTGCGCACGCCAGGTGCGGATTGGTGTGTGCGCCTGCACGCCAAAGCAAATTGGTGTGTGGGCCCGCACACAATCTACAGAGTGTAGACCGGCGTGCAGGCCTGCACAGTGCATGTCAAAGATTCCTAAATGCATATCTACACATATGCATTTAGGACCGCTGCCATCCCATAGGACCCAGGCATGGGTCCTATAGGACGGCGGCCGAGAATCCTGAGAAAAAAGAAGAAAAAAAAACAAGGCTGGGAGGGGGTTCCTCCCAGACTTAGACCCTAAGCTCATAGGTTCATGTCAGGAGGGTTTCCTCCCAACAAGATGGCTTTGAATGCAGGGCGGGAGGGGGTTCTTCCCAGACTTAGACCTTAAGCTCATAGGTTCATGTCAGGAGGGTTTCCTCCCAACAAGCTGGCTTTGAATACAGGGCATCGGGAGGAAACCCTCCCAATGAGCTGGGCTTGAGACCAGCTCATCAGGAGGAAAACCTCCCAATAATCTGGACTGTGTAGCAGCTCATTGGGAGGAAACCCTCCCAATGAGCTGGTTTCAAATCCAGCCCATTGGGGGGAAACCCTCCCGATGAACTGGGCTTAAGACCAGCTCATCAGGAGGAAACTCTCCCGGTGAACTGGGCTTAAGACCAGCTCATCGGGAGGAAAAACTATTAGCTGGTCTTAAGCCCAGTTCATCAAGAGGGTTTCCTCCCAATGAGCTGGACTGTGTACCATCTCATTGAGAGGAAAACCTCTCAATGAGCTGGTCTTAAGCCCAGTTCATAGGGAGGGTTTCCTCCCAATGGGCTGGATTTGAAACCAGCTCATTGGCAGCGGTGGGCCGCTACGCTACACTACGCTACAGGGCCATTTAGCGTTAGCGTAGCGGCGCAAAATGTGGCCCTTTTTTGTCTAGTGTTAGTGCCCCGCTACCACCGCTACGCTACGCTACTTTGTAGCGGCACTAACAGAATTTGTTTTTTCTGTAGTGTTAGCGCGCCGCTACCACCACTACGCTGCGTTACGCTACGCTACAGCGCTTTTAGCGGCAAAAAAGGCTAAAAATCCGCTAAAAAGCGCTGTAACGCAGCGTAGTGGGTACTTTTTTGCGCCCTGTCCGTGTAGCGTTAGTGCAATTCCAACTTTTTGCGCTAACGCTACGCTAACTGTTAGTGCACTGTTGCGCCCTTTACGCATAGTGTTAGCGCAGATGTGGCAGAATCCCGCTACGCTACGCTAAAGTTTAGCTGAATTCCGCTACGTTATGCTACACTAACACTACGGTTAGCATAACTGGCCCACCGTTGTCATTGGGAGGGTTTTCTCCCAATGAGCTGCTATGAGTTTATAGTCTTCAGGCTTTGAGGAAACCCCTCCCAGCCTTGTTTTTTCCCTTTTTTCTCATGATTCTCTGCCGCCATCCCATAGGACCCATGAAAAAATCATCCTCTCGTGAATTCAATTTAGAAATTTTGTTGTCTCATGATTGAGTTTTTTAAAGCTCATCTTATTGATTGTATTGTGTTTATATGGAGAAATTACAGTTTTTTTTTTTGAATTTTATTAAAACTTGGGTAAGTTTGAGGCTGTTTTTATTGTACTAGGGGAAATGAATTCCAGAATCTATCTGAGAAAGTATTAGATTTAGAACTGGAAATGATAATTTTGATGAAATTGACTGGTGTGAGAGGATCTAAATCTACAAAGAATATCCTGATCTGATCAAGAGACTTTCAAACTTTTATGCTGGGGCTGCAGAAAAAATCATTTTGTGCTGATTCTATTTACTATTTCTGTAAATTAGAAGTGAAATAAAAAACTAATCACATGAGGAAACTCTAGTGACTTTGATAGTATTTTATTTTGAATTTTGTCTGAATGTTGAGTGAAAGATATGAGAAAATCAGTTCCCAATACTGTGAAAAATATGGGAATTTCAGGTTCGTTACCAAAGTGATTTTTTGTGATTTTTGTTTGATTTTATGGTGACATGCAGTCACTGGGCAACCAGTGCCCTGAAATTTCCCCCGGTGTTTGCGATTTGGCTCAGGGATTTTGTACCATACCAGGCAACCGAAAGGACGGACAATTTTGAGGTCAACATCGTGAGTTTTCAGGATGGAGGAGGGAGATTTGAAACCCATGGGAGTGTTGCACGGGAAGGAGTTGAAAGGGAATAAGGCATGCCTGAGAGCATCAGCCCAGAAGGACTTGGGTAAATGGGCTTGGATGAGAGATGCCCTAACTAAGTTATTGATGGTTCGATTTGTTCGTTCCGCGACTCCATTTAGCTGCGGAGAGTGAGGAGGTCCTGGCTCATGTTTGATACCAGATGATGTGAGGTAGGCGGAAAACTCATTGGACAGATATTCTCCACCATTGTCGGTACGGAGGGCAAGTACTTTGTGGGCTCCACTCTTCTCAAAGAAAGACCAAAAAATTTTGAAACAGTTGAAAGAGTCGCTTTTTAATTTCATTGGAAAAACAGAAAGGAATTTCGAGCAGTCATCTAAAAATGTGATGAAATATTTATAGCCTTCCCTTGAAACTAACTCATATGAATCTACATCAGAATGAATCAGCTGGCCGGGACTTGTCGAGCGGTAGGCGGCTTGGCTCTTGAAAGCTTTCCTTGGCATTTTGGCTTGCACACAAGTTGGACAGCATTGGACGTTGATTTCGTTCATCACTGAAGGAATAATGTTGTTGGATTTTAGTAGATGTTTCAGGGGACGGAGGCCTATGTGAGAGAAGCGGTGATGGTACCCAAGGAGGGAGTGGTCTGGAGGTTTGGGAGACAGAGACAAAGAGGAACAGGAGCTCACAGGCTCAGATGGGAGATAGTATAAGTTCCCACGTCGATAGCCCGTTCCAGCGGCATTTCCTTTGATGGAAGTTGAGTTCGAGTCAAAGATATCGCAGGAAGACTTGGTGAAAACAACCGTGAGGCCCGCATCGCACAAGCCGGCTATGGAGAGGAGAGGTTCATGAAGTGAGGGGACCACGAGCGTCTTGACCATGGTGTTGCCGTTGATGGGGAGTCTAGACGTTCCTTTGTGGGTAGCTTCCACCACTGAGTGATCAGCAAGTCGGACGGGGGTACGATTGGGTTTTGGGTCCTCGACCGATTCTAGACTGGGGGTCATGGACATGGAACATCCTGAGTCCAGATTAGCATCCCCGCCTGAAAAAGATTGGGAGAGGGAGGTGGATAAGGAAGCAACAGCGTTTCCTGCTGTGACTTCGACCTCCGAGCCTGAATAGTCGGAATCTTCATCCTCGTCATAGTTGTAGGTAGAGATTGTTCATTTGGACCTGGGTACCTGTTTATACCTAGGTACCTGTTCATTTTTTCAAGAAAATAGATACCATGTACCGCACCAGACACCTCCCAGGGGGTACCCAAGGTACCTGTTGCAGGTACCTCAGGTACCCCCCTCTCTTTTTCACCTAGTTTCACCCCCAGAGTCCCAAGTCACTTTATTATTATTATTATTATTTTTTCATATTTATTGTAAAATATCACTCACAAGTCACTTTTTTGGCATTTTTTAATATCTGTTGTAATATATCTACATCTAATTGGAAGAATCTTACTTTTCTATTTTTTTCATATTTATTGTAAAACATCAGTCCCAGATCACTTTTTTCATTTGTTCATATTTAATAATTTATTGAAAAGTTGAAACTATCTACAACTTATAACTAATTGGAAGAATCTTCATTGTCATCCAAAACCATCACCTTCCTTTTTGATTTTTTGTTAGACTTCTTGTTATCCTTGAGTCCCTGTTTCCATGCAGCCAAGGTACCTTCTTAGATCTTGGAGTTCTTGGAGTAGAAGGCCACCATCATTTTGATTTTTGGTAGGGAAGTGAGGGGGTACCTGTAGAGGTACCTAGGTACCTGTTCAATTTTTCACAAAAATAGGTACCAAGTACCGCACCTGGCACCTCCTGGCAGGTGCGGGGCGGGTGCGAGGGGTACCCCCCAGGAGGTACCAGGTACCTGCAAAAAGTACGGACAAACAATCTCTAGTTGTAGGATGTAGTGCCTAGCGTTGCAGCCAAGGTTCGTCCAGCACGCGCAGGGGTTTTTCCTGCTTGAGAGGAGGAACTCTTTGAGTCCTTAGGATTACTTTCTGGCTTTTGATTTGCCTTATGTTCAAGAAGAAGTCGGCGGGTGTTGTTGAAATTGTTGAGGTCATGGCCTGGAACATTGCATAGGAAGCAAAGCTTTTGCTTGTTGGTGTCGCTTGAGTGGGGGTTTTGCGTCGGTTTGGTCTTGGTAGAAGAGACAGAAGTAACAGTGACGACGTCCAATTGTGATTGACGACGAACATGTTCATTCTTCAGCGCCTGAACGATTGTTTTCATTTGTACACCCTCCTGATTCATGAGCGCTGAGACGCAGTGAATCCAGTCAGGAGGGAGCGAGCTCAATATAGCGGCCGAGTGTACGTTGTCTGGCGTGAGAGGCTTTCCCGGCGTGACCGGAGCGTTGAGACGTTTGTGGTATTGGGCCATGTTATCGATATGGGCGATGATATCGTCGCCCTCCATCTTTGCCAGGAGGAGCTTCCGGATCCAGTAGACGTGACCACCAGTGCTGGAGTCTTGATGAGCTTGGAGGAGAGCGAGCCACATTCCTTGGGCATCCCTGCAATGGTCACGGATGTGACGAAGATTCGTGGAGTCGATCATCTGGGTAATGACCAAACAAACCGCTTTATTATCGGTGGCCCAGGTGGCGGGCCGAGGAGCGAGTTTTGTTTTGTCATCTTGGGCTTCAATGATGTAGTCGACCCCAACTGCTTCGAAGTACGAGCTGACTACAAACTCCCAGTCCAGGTAGTTCGAGTCCAGCCCAGGAGCTTTCAGTATTGGAAGTCTCCCGCTGGAGATCTTCTGGGAGGATGCGAGGGAAGTGTCCGAGCCAATTAGAGTGGTCGGCCCCTTTTCATCGCCAAGAGCCAGGGTTGGAGATTTGCCGGTGTCGTTGGCCATGATTTAGACCAAACAGAGCGCGGCAAGCGAGTGGAGAGAGAAGAAGAAGTTTGCAATACGAAGCAAACCGCGCAGCGTGATAGAAGACAAAAAGGGACATGTGTGTGTCTAGCGAGGCAAGAGCCTAAACCCGAGAGAATGGGTGATCCTTCGAGATGAGGTAGAGTCACTCAAATGACAAGGTAGTTTAACGTGCTCTGCCGTGCTGTCCGTAGCCGTTAGCGCAGGCTCATAACCTGATAAGCTGATGATGTCTGGAAACAGTGGCACGAGGTGGGGTGAGTGACATGGTTTGTGGAAGGATTATATCATTTCACACAGACAGAGAGAAGAAAAGAGAGAAAGAAAACATGAGACTACTATACCTGGAAACAGCGGCACGAGGTGGGGTGAGTGACGTGGTTCGTGGAAGGATGAGGAAAGAAACCTTCCACGACCACTGTTCCAGGTGTACAAAGAAAACTGTGAAATGTGAATGAAATGTGAAATACATGTGTAAAGCAGATAAAGATGAATATGGCAGTATGCATAGCTCAACAGCTCCCGCATTCTCCCCAAAACTAGCTCATCCAGCTCCCGCATCCCCCCTAAAACCAGCTCCCTCATCCCCTTCAAAACTAGCTCACCCAGCTCCCTCATCCCCTTCAAAACCAGCTCACCCAGCTCAATTGCTACCATCATATAAACCAGCCCTTCCAGCTCACTTTCTCCCATCAAAACCAGCTCACCCATCTCCCGCATCCCCATCAAAACCACCTCACCCTGCTTCCACATCCCCACAAAAACCAGCTCTTCCAGCTCCCACATCCCCACCAAAACCAGCTTACAATGCTCCTTTTCTACTATCAAAACCAGCCATTCCAGAACACCCCATCATAACCGGCTCTTCCCGCTTCAGAATCACCAGAAAACCCAGCTCTTCATACCTACCAAAACTAGCTTAACCAGCTATCACCTGTGTTTTAACCACAGCTTGTTGAGCCCATGATCCGCAGCTTGTTAAGCCCATGGAGATTGAGGGTATTTCAAATGCAACTTGGCCAACAAATTGGAATCAAGTTGATTTCAACCAATTAATTTAAAACCAACCTACTCTAAGGTAAAAATACCCCTTCTCCCAGCTGTACCACCCTCATAAAAATTCAAGGCAGTTCGCAAACCTCCAAAACTCTAAAACCATGCTTCCTGATACCAACCACTAGGCAAAACAAGTATTAAAATCCCTCAATGTTGGGTTACATAATGTTCACACAACAGCAGCTATAATCTGTCACAGGTTTAATTTTGGGTGGACTTTGTTGTAAATTCTTGACTGTAAAGAATCAACACTTGAATTCATCCTGAGCTCAGTATCCAGCCCTTCCCATTGTTTTTTTCAATGTAAGTCTGATGAATGCCTCACTCCACACATGTTTTAGTGCTTATTTTCGCTGGGAGGAATATTGGAACTTGTGAAAAAATGTGAAAATTTTAAATCTTGGGGTAAATTTTTAAAGGGAAAATTGGAGGACTTCCCGTTGGATCTGGAACCCTTGCAGAAGTTCATCTAGAGCCGAGAACTTTTAATTCTCGCAGGGAGATTTGAATTTTGAGGCTCTAAACCGGCTCTGGGAGACCCGCAGATGTTGACGGGAAGTTCTCCATTGGGTGTTATTTTTTTACACACACAACTGTTTTCAAAACCTATTTTGAGCTGGTTTCTCAACTATTAGGATTTCATTTTGGTAGGGTTTCATACATAAAATGAAAATTGTGAACTTAACACAAGTCCCCCTGGTGGGAGGCTGGCTGGTGTGACTGGCTGGGTTTTGAACTTTGATTTGCAAACCCTGACCCTAACCCTCTTCCATGGAAATACAGATAAAAAAATTCAGAAAGATTAACATGATGGTATAGAACAAGAAAAACACTGAAATGGAATTTTGAGAAAAATGGCATGGGAGCCAGAGTTGATGATACAAAAACAGGCCTGCCTCATGGGAGCTTTGAATAATAATATGTAAGCCTCTCTGACGAGGCTGAGCTAACACCCAGATATGCCTGCAAATGACTCTCATCACTAGAGGATTATTTAAGCTCAAGAAAATTGGTAGGTGAATGTATTTGGAGAGAAAAAGACTCAAATACCAATAAATACAATTATGTATACATTGTACTTGACAGTTTGGAGTGGTAACTAGGTATGATTGACCATTTGAAATTAATAGGGGGTATCAAATATAGGAAATCCACCATTATAAACCAGTCAATTTTCCAAAAACAAATTGTGTAAATGGGCCCCCAAAAATTGGGGTTAAATGAAGAACCAACATGTTTCAAAATGGGTGAGTTTTTTCAAACCAGCCAATTAAATAATGGTGGATTTGCTTATACCCCCTAATGCTAACTTCAGTCAGTTCTAGCCAAATGGGCTGGGGGAAGCCTGATGGGCTGGGGGAAGCCTGATGGGCTGGATTGCGTACTCAGTGGGAGGAGACCCTTCCAAAGAGCTGGTTTTAAATCCTGCCCATTGGGAGGGGACCCTTCTGACAAAAAAATTCTGTGTGTTGCCATCCCCCACAAATTTGGCTGGTGGCACAATGGGATGTATGCCAACACAACATTCATTTTTGATGAGTTGGCGCGCACACCCTTTTTGAGGGAGTTGCCTGCCTAGGATTCGAAAGGGTGTGCAGGCCCACAAACCAAAAATTGATGGTGTGCACACCCACATGAAAGAATTTGGAACTGAAGTATTTCATTTCTTTATAAGTATTTATTCTTTTTAAACAAATTACAAATGATATATTTATAGGGCTTGGGAAAAACGACTCCCATTTTTTCGCCAACGACTCCCAACAACCATCAGCGGACGTCGGTTGGGAGTTGCCTTCTAAAGTCTGGGCGGATTTTGGGAGTCGTCCGCCCAATCCCATTTTTATTTTTTTGATATTTTTTTTGGGAGTCGGCTCCCCAAACCACCCCTCATGCATGAAGGGGTTTGGGAGTCGCTCCCACTTGACCGGAAGGAAACCCTTCCAGTCAGTGAGGCAGCTATACCTCATTGACCGGAAGGGATCCTTCCGGTCAATGAGGAACCTATACCTCGTCGACCGGAAAGGATTCCTTCCGGTCAATGAGGAAGATTTATATCATTCACTGAAAGGAATCCCTTCCGGACTCATCAACCGGAAGGAATCCTTCCGGTTGATGGGCTTTAGCCCCCCTCCTTGAGTGGAGGACTCTCCTCCAGTCGTCGAGGGAATCTTCCTCAGTGTCCGTAGGGATTCTTTCCAGTCGATGAGGTAATACTTTCTAAGAAGAGGAAGAATCCCTCCCGGTCAACGAGGTATAGGTTCCTCATTGACCGGAAGGAATCCCTTCCGGTCGACGAGGTATAGGTTCCTCATTGACCGGAAGGA